ACTCTGCCTCACTGTGCCCCTCAGCAGTAGTGATTACCCTCTGCTGCATGAAGGTTGGATTCCTCCAGCAACTCCGCCTGATGTCTATTTTTGGCTTCCCCTCTAAAAACAGATGGTTGGGAGTGAGAACCTCTCCTTACGATTGCTGTTGTAAGCTGTGAAAGCAACAGATGGTTGCTAACACAGAGATCACAAATGCAGAGGTTCTGAGCTCCAATTTTTCTTCCAATGGTGCAAGCTTTATTTTGTTTACATCCATTCACTTTATACCTATTGGAATAAAAATGGGTTTTTCAAGGATATGTCAGTATAACAACTGAAGATGTATTGTTAAAATTTCATTCCTAAACTGCAAAAGACACAAAACAATTCATTACTTTGGTTCTGTCAGAACAAGACACTGAGTGTGGATTAAAACATGACACATCTTAGGCCCTTGCATCAGTGTTAATGATATACCATAATTCGGTTTCTCCTATTTTCCTAAAAACACTAGCAAAGAAATAAAAATCAACCAGACAGATCTAGGTTAACATTGTCTTCATGACTTGCAATGGTAGATCTGAGAGGCCTGGACTTCCTCAAAGGTCTTGGTCAAGGTGTGGGAAGGTACTGGCTGCAAAGGACTAATTGCCTTTCATGTCTCCGAAGCAGACAGAGACCCTACTACCCTTCCAGATGAGCAGGAGGCCTGTGGTCTCACACTGACAGAGGGGTAAGGACCTCTGTCTCTGTGTCCATCACTTCAACTCGAGCTGGGAGGAGTGTGATACCATAAATCAGGGGAGCTACAAGGTCTCTACATAGAGAACAGAATCTCTGTATGTCTGCGCCTCGCACTTCAGTGTGCTAATGAATATAAGGAAATCGTGCTTTTTGTGGCTCAAGAAGGTTGTCCAGAAATTATTATAATCCACTGTTTCTGAGTTTATTTTTTTTTAAATATCCCACTGCACATAAGCTGTGTACATCAAAGGCTTTTGGAGTGCTTTGCAAAGACTAATGCATGGGAGACTGCAAAGAGAGGATAATGATTTGCTCAGGACTCCATACTGTGTCAGTAGCAGAATTCGGAATAGTTTCCTTTTCTTTAGCTGTGTCTCAGCTGATATCCATAGAACTGGGCAAAAGTATCAGTTCAAAATCAAATGCATGACTTGCAATGGGACAGTGTGTTCTGCTTTTGGTCTGAGCAAACACACGAAGTGAAGATTATAATGCTGTGGAACTGCAATGCCATTCTCCAGTCTGCATACAAAAAGTTTCTCAAGACCTTTTTTTCTGGACAGGTAAATGTTGAAAATAGCCAGATTTTGGACATGTTAGACCAAATCTTCTTCACCATCCAAAATGCAGTATTCAAATACAAGGCAGTAGAAAATCTCAGGCAGATTATTAGGGAATGTAACATGGAAAAGGAGACCTAAAGGACAGATTTTAAGAAACCAAGATAAAGGCAATGCTAGACATACCTTCAGCCTACCGTAAGAAGACATGGTAATTTTAAAGCCTGAATTTCCATTCTCCACTTTAAAAACAAAACCCCCCGTTTGTTGCTGAGAAGCCAAGTCCTTAGCTCCTTCATCTCATCTCCTTCTTTATGCCTGTTGTGTACTGGCAGCTGTCCTGGCTTTCCACAAGGATACTAGGGAAATTATGAACAGCCCTGCTGCAGTGTCATGTCTTTTAAAGGGATCACAGCTCCATGGAACATTAATTAAGTCAACATTCTTGTGCCCAGTTTTGTTTGAAGTTACTACAGCCCTCACATTTTCTATATTCACTTGCTTCAGCAAACAATTTTCTTTAAACTCTAGAGTATGTTGGAGAATGAGCTGTTTGACTATTATAGCCTCGAGTTTTTGAGACTTATACTATTTCAATCCTTAAGGGCTTTCTTGCCCATCTTACTCCCATTCTTAAAATATTCCTGCTAATATCCTTAAATATTTTAAAATTATAAATATATATGCAGTGCCTTCCCCAATCAGATTGTCTAATTAATCTAACTGATGTATAGTGTGATATGTACATGCACTCAAACTGTAATTTATGTTGACTGGCTAGTATAACCAATTTGGCTGTTGCATTTAATTTTAGAATAAACCACATTTATTTCCCTTACACTAGATTTAGGAAATAAATTATAGTTGAAGCAATAATATTTTTCCAGGCTTCTCTAACATTCAGTCTAAATTAATTTGGTATTTCAGATTCTTCTACCAATTGTAGCAGTTATGCTGGCCATACATCAGAGAAAGTTTACAGGTTTTATTGCTGTTTCTGAGGGGCTGCTGGGAGGCAGAAGGAGTGTTTAAGCCCAGATGGCCTACTAGATGCTGGTAAAATTTAGGCAGGGTTTCTCCCAGGAAGACTCAGGAGCAGTCCAATCATGTGGTGGGAGGCTTTGTTAGAAGTACTGCCACTATTAGTACCAATGCACACCTGATGTTCAGAGCACAGCCAAGCTTTAAAGGAGAGCCTGAGAGCACTGTCATGTTTAAAGCAGCAGGGCTGGTGGGTATGGCCAAATTCTCTGATAATTTAAGGAAGCATAAATGCAGTGAAGCCACTGCAGCAAATGCCACACACATCTTTGGCTGTGGTACATGATGTACCCAATCATACTGTACTTGCCTAATGCTGAACTCTTAATTATGCTTGCCCACAGCTGGCCCAGTGCAAGTGGAACAGGGTATAAATCAAAAGGCACATAAACAAATGCAGGAGCAGGAAAGGAGTTCAGACCTGAGACTGGCTTTAAGAAAATGATTAATATTTGCTATGAATAAAGGGTCCACCTGTAATTTGAAACTGATTAACTAAAGAGCTATTTAAATGTTAATGGTGTAACAGTAATTTCTGGTGACAGTGAAATGCTTTCTCCATTCCAGCATTTAGTATTCTACTTATCCTAGTCCAGATATGAGATTTTTAGAAAATGTAGAGTATAGGGATGGCAGCTCTTTGGTGGTAGGAACAAATTACAGCTTTTAGCTAGATTTTTTTAAAAACACAACTTATTTACTAATAACTCACATATGATTTAGAGCTGAATTTGAGAGCTGATGGATCCACTGTGTACTCTTTCATGCAGATTTTGTACTCCAGGGAACAGAGTAATTGGTAGTTAAAAAGCTTCTTTTAGGATTTTAATCTCCACCCCAGAAAAGAGAGTGTAACCCTGAGCAGGATTTAGCTATATTCAGTAGTAGAAGCAAAACATAAAATACATGCCTAAAAAAACCGACTGAATGTTAAAAGAGTTTCAACTTCCTGTGCTGATGTTTTGAAGTTATTTCTGCTTTCTATGATGAATGTCCACAGGTTTGGAAGAGACATGGTTACTGTTTCTTTCTTCTGAATCAGGGCAAGAGCCTGACACTGGCAGGGAAAAGGCCTGTCAAATGTTGTAGCTTCAAAGTGATATCAGTTACTGTGGCTGTGAAATTGGGAAGCCATGTCAACAATTAAGCATGCTCTAGCTAATTGACAAGCCTGTTTACAAAAACTAGAGGGATACTCAAAATGGCACAAGAGTATGACAAGGAATGATCACCTCCTTGCTACTGCAGAATTTCTGCCTGTGCTTGTCTTTCCTCCAGTTCATGAGAATAATAGCTCTCTTCCCACAGCTGTTGTCTTCCAAATGGAAAAATGAGCCAAGCAGAAACTGTTCTGAGGAAGTTCTCACAGTTTTTCTGAAATTCTAGTGACCATGTCTAAAACCTAACAAATCAATGAAGGGTGTTTCTGAGGGCGTGACTATAGGTTACTAATCTGGTAATGTGGCTGTTCCCAAGGGAACAAAAATTTAATTTTCTGTCTCATTTCAAACACAGACTTGAATTACATGTCTGTCTCTATGTTTAATGAACAAATCATTGCAATATTTGTGAGATTTAATTAAGATGGGGAGTTTACATGGGAAAGAGGGAAACTGCTGCAGCAGCCCTAACGAAGCGATGTTGACTGTGGAAGGTATAAATCCAGCATTTGGTAGTGTCTCTGCAATGCCTGGCCTCAGTCTTAGTTATCCATGTTGCAAAACCCACCAAAATTCTATAGTAGGAATGGTAAGGCATTGGTTCACTGCCAAAGACCAAAGAAAGTCTTGCAGATAGAAGCTGGGGCATGTTCCCTCTGGCTGTTAGCTAAAACATAGGGCAAAAATCCACTTTCTCTCTTGCTAGAGAGAACTCTGATTTACAAGAGAGGCAAGGCTCCTAGGTACTTGTCTTGCCACAGTATAGTATACCCTGGCAGTAGGACTGCTGATTTTAAATGCTGGGGCTCTAAATGTCCTAAATAATCTTTTCACACCAACTCCTCCCCCACACTCCCAACAAACAAACAAACAAACACACACATTAATATTCCACAGTGGTTTTGATTATGAATTTCTGTTCCATCTGATCCTTTGCTGGGCTTGCTAGAAGCACAGGCTAGACAAAAGAGGTCCCTTCTGATCCTTCCTACTGCCCTAAATACTAGGAACAGGACTGTAAGGTTTCTAAGAAACAAAGAAAATTCTAAGGAGGGCTTCAAATATCACCTCTGTGTATGATCCAAAATAGAACATTTAAGTGCATCAAACAGCCTTAATCTAGTCTAGCTTTGTATAACCTGGATGACTCTACAGCAGTCACACCTGCTCATTTCTCTACAAATACTAGTCTTTGATCTGCAAGTATGTTTGAACCATAAGCCTTTTGTTTTTTTCATGAAAACTTTTTGAATGGTAATCTTCTGTATATTCTCATAGAGAAGAAAGTTTCTATCAGTATCAACACATTTTTCTAAATATTTGTATTCACATACAGCTATCTTCATATGTAAATTTTGCTTTAACAGTGACATGAACTAACTTGGAATAGTTTTAAACATTCAGAAAGTTTGCCTCAACAGCCTTCACAAAACACAAATACAGTTTCTGAACGTAACTGTTAAAATACAGGCAACAATTTAATATTGCAGATAACAGACTTTTTCTTCCTTAGGAAGACTATGATCGTCTGAGACCTTTATCTTACCCTATGACCGATGTCTTCCTTATCTGCTTCTCAGTGGTAAACCCTGCTTCATTTCAAAATGTGAAGGAAGAGTGGGTACCGGAGTTGAAGGAATATGCACCTAATGTTCCCTTTTTACTAGTAGGAACACAGGTATATTTGGTTCTGTTCTACTTTATTTAAACAGTTAGGATCATTGTATGGTGCCTTTTCTGTGGGCTGGAAGTCAAGACCAACAGGACCTGAGCAGCACCTTCTTCTGCCTTTGGAGGAACAACCCTTACAGGTGGCAGAAAAACACAGCTACGTGTTGTTCTCCAATGAGCTATCTCCATTTTGTTAAAAAAACTTATGTCCATTGTAAATATGGTGGCAAGATGGACTGCATGCCTCCCATGTGACTTTCTAAAAAGTCATGGGACTTAGTGAATAAAACTGTCTCTAATGCCCATGTTACTGGAATTACTTGTGACAACTATTAGTCACATGCAATATTTGCTGAAGCAAAGGAGAAGGGGAGAAATGAGACAATTTCCTCTTGCTTCTCATGAATAGTGGACTGGGCTTCTTTTATGAAGTGACCCACATGTTGGTGTTACCTTTGGGTTAGTCTTTCTGCCACTGCATTTGGTATTCTAAGATGACCACATCTAATTGAAGTGCTGAATTACAGAATAAATGGTTCTTCTAGATTAGAGGTTCACAATTTAATTGAGGGCTCTTGAATCAGGAAGGGTCCACAGTCTGAATCATGACATGACTCCGTTTTTATAGAGAAAATATTCCATTGAATGATTCTCCTTTAAAAAGTGGGTATCATATTGCCTGCTGACTTTTGTTTAGAGAAAGTATTCCAGCATGACTTCAATCTTTCTTGCTAGATTGATCTCCGTGATGACCCAAAAACTCTGGCAAGACTGAATGATATGAAAGAGAAGCCCGTATCTGTGGAGCAAGGACAGAAGTTAGCAAAAGAGGTAAACTGGATATTCCTAAATGAAACCAAGTAACAAAGAACAACAACAACAAAACCACCCCTATTTCTACTTGACTTTGTCTTCCTTTACCACTTGTTGCATATCTTTTAGCAGTCCACATATGAAAACTTGTGACTGCTTACCAGTCAACAACACTTACTTACATTAATGAGCAGACCTAAGTAATTATATCTTCTTGTCAGTAATTGTCAGTAATTTTCAGTGTAGACACTTATATAGCTTGTATAGCTTTTACAAATATTACTCAAAGATAATTACTATCCACAGACTGGTTGAGGTTGGAAGGGACCTTTCCTGCTCAAGCAAAATGTTGGAAGGATCTTTTAGACGTTATCTGAGCATGTTATACTACCACTGTGACTACGGTGTGGATAATGCTTATCAGGACGTTTACAGAGCCTTTATTTTTGAAACACAAATGAGTAATGTAATTATTTTTTGCTCTTTAAAGATCAACCATACCTGAGGCCTTCACTGCCAATTTAAAGAATTTACTTGTTTCCCATAGAAACCAACCAACTTAAATACCTTCCAGATCTTTGGACAAAAGACAAATCTTATTTTCTCCTATGGGGGGGTACACATTCAGATAACTTTTTTTAGATTATAGCTAAACATTGTAATGTTGCTATGGGGGGGGGGGAGCAGAAGTGCCCAGATGGAACTGAACAGCTGAGACATACTGCTATTGAATTAACTTATTTTCTTGACAGATAGGAGCCTACTGTTACGTGGAGTGTTCAGCTTTAACACAGAAAGGACTGAAGACTGTTTTTGATGAAGCTATTATAGCCATTCTAACTCCAAAGAAACACACAGTGAAGAAGAGAATAGGCTCAAGATGCATAAACTGCTGTTTGATCACGTGAGAGACATTTACAATGGCCAGGCTTACTGTGAAATTCTACTGATTTTAAATACAATGCATTAAGTACATAATGAATTTGTTCCAGGTTTGAAAGTTAAACCTACATTTCTGCCTTCTAAAACCAGTGAAATCCAGAGGAATAAAATCAAACTCAACGAACTTGTAATAAGAAGCCACCACATCTGTTACAAATATTTTATTCAGACTGGAAGGTACAATCTCTCAGGGTTACACAGTCTAGAGGAAGCAAAAACTGCACCATGCTGAAATGGCATCTATGTGATTTTACTGAGTGGAGATGCTTGGCCTGAAATACTCTAACTGAATTTGGACAGTTTTCTGCTTTGACTATATATATATATATATATCTTAAAAAACCCAACTTTTGCACAGTCTGTATGGAATCTGCACAAAGAAATACCTTGTCTCTTTTTGCTCCAGTTATCTGCTTTTGTATGTAAGCTGCTTCCGGTTCCAGTGTATCCACAGAGGTGCAATAATCAGACCAGCCATATAGCCAAAGGTAGCTCCGAGGGAACAGGAAATGGGCCATACCTGTGGGGAGAATGCAAGGTAAAAGCAGACAATGAGGAAAATGTCTGTGATTTTTTGTACTTCATGAGCACAAAGTCTAGGTACTGAAAGACAGTAGTCTTATTCTACTTTAAAGCTTGATGTGCTTTCCTAAAAATGCCAAAAGCGTAACAATCATCTTCACGAACACTAAATGCTGTTGTACAGTTTTTAGTTAATATGCAGTTAGTTAAAATGTAAGCAGGCTTCTGGCTATTGCAGACTTTAGTTTGATAGTCCAAAAACTATGTGGAAAAAAACACCCCTTAGAACTATCTATATCCCCTGAAGCATTTAGCTGACCTAACTTCCTACTCTGCTGTACAGTTGGATACCTGGATTTCTCAGCAATTTCTCCCTTCAATCTTTCATGGTGTTTTGAAACTTTCAGGTGTGTATAGAGGAATTAGTATTCAAATAAGGCCAGAGACTGAGATAGACAGAGGTTTGCTGGCTTTTTTTCTTGAAAAGTATATGAAAGGATAAATTTTCCTCTGATTAGCAGCAGGGAGGGAACACAAATTTGGAAGCTGACTGAACATCTTGCACCCAGATCATCAAACTCGTAGTAAGCCAGTTATGTCAAAGAGAGCTTTAATTATATGCTCTATTTTCTATTATAAGAAAAGGAAGCCAACTCAATAGATCTGACTCTCTTTAACAAACCATCTTGTACTGAGCCAGAGTAGTAATGGAATTCTTCCCTGCTTTTTTTTTTTTTAAATTGGTATTGATTTCCAGGGAGTGGCCGAACTTAACCAGTCTGTCATCAGATATAGCTTATAATACCAGTCCACTACATACTGCATTTGATGAAAGTCTCAACTAAGGTGGTAATTAATTTATTTTTTTAGAATAAATACAATTCCCAGGCCTCTAAAATTTTCCTTTGGTTTTTTTTTTTTTTTTTTTGCAAGGACAAGTTTGCAGTTCCTGCTGAACAGTGCATATTCCTAAAGCAAGTATGGACTGGACTCTACTTTTCTTTTGTTTTTTAAATTAAAGGGGATATTACCCCTCCCTCCCATAGTAGTTGAGACTGAGAAATGCACTAGACAATAGAGGAAATATCCCAATCTCCAGCCTTCTTTTTTACTTCACTTTGACTTGCAATTCATGAATATCAAATGAACTTACGCTTAATGGTACTGGTTCCTCCTTTCATTCATTTTCCTAGCTCTGATTCTTCTCTTTACTTCATTATCACTTAAAAGAATATATTTATTCACATCCTTTGATCATAGGAATTTTAACTACGAGTAAGAGTAATGTATTTTGTCTTCTGCTCTTTCATCTTCAATCTCCTCAGTTGTTTCATCTTCACATTCCTTAGCATTTACAGCTTTATATGTTATTTGGAGGTCTTAAGGAGTGTAGCAAAGATGATTATTAAACAAGGTGCCTTAGGTACTCTTTATTGACCTTGTTTCATTCTTTCACTTTCATACATTCTGTCTCCGCTGCTTGTTTTTTTTGCTGAGTATTTCAGCAATTGCCTCTCAAGCCAAAGATTTTCTTGTTTTCATTCATTTACTGTGTATAGTAGATCATCTATAAAAAGCCTTGAGAGGCTTTGGCATGGTAAGTACTACATGTATTTGAAACTCACATAAGTTTGTGGCCTTGGCTAAACTTACACTTCAGGTGGATCTTTTCAACTTTTAAACAAAATGTAATTATTTCTAGCATTTTGCCTATTACACATGTCTAAAGGACAAAACAATAAAAAAGTCCCTGAAACCCTTCTGCTCACTCAGTAATGTTCAGATGGTAAGTCATACTTTTTTATCCACTGATGAAGTCAAACACCAATATCCAGACAACTATGGACAAAGGCTTCTTAACACAGTGGTGCTTTTACATCAAATTTGCTGAGTGATCAATGATCAATCCTTCATTAAATTTTTACCTACATTAGGTGAATTTGTAGTTGCCTATTTGCTTTCCAGAACTATAGGTAGATGATGGACTCTGAATTGATCATATTCCCCTAACTAGAGAGCGAATATCCCTGATGACCCAATGACCCTGTATGTTGTGCTATTTTGTGTATAGTGGGTGATTATTGGTATGATTAAAAAGATCGCTGATGATTGTTGTAGCCTCTTTCACCTGACTGAAATGCAACCTGGGACATGCTTTTTCAATAGCTATGTAACTTTTAATATTAATTATGCCTCTGTCTTCTAAAACGTTCAGTTTTTGCTTTGGTTTTTAAAAGTCAGTGTTACCTTATATAAGTTTCAGGCTCTCTTTCTTAACAGTTGAATCTGTGACCTCTGAACACTCACAAATGGCAGGTGGAAAAGATAGGGAACAAAGAGAAAAACCACAAAACATGCCATCTCCCCATCTATGAGTAAGACAGAAAGAGACACCACCTCATCCCTTCTAGTGGCATGGAACAGAGGGGTACCAGGCCAGGCACTTTTTCTTACTGTGCTGCTTGGACAGCCCAAAGTAGTTTTGAGGGCAGTTTGGCCTTTGGAGAACTCCCTAAGCACAGCAGTTAAAAGCCTGCACTTAGAAGTGTTGCTGTCCTTCTGCCATTTTCTCTAACCCTTAAGACCAGGCAAAATCCCCTAACAAACAGGTAGTAATACCAGTTTTGCACCTTTTATTCTTGACTGATGGCTTTTAGGCTACATATAGCCTGAGGCACCCATGGGTATATCTAAAGCAGCAAGTTATCAAAGACAGATTAAGATATGGTTCTTAAGCACATCAGCTGCACTAAAATAACACCACTTTCACATGCTTTTGACTGTCTACGAAAATGGGTTGCTTCTTTCTGTGGAAGTGGGTTGCTTTATTTTGTATTAGCTGCTGGCCTCATTTTTCTGAGACCCAATCACTTTCTTCTGGACCTTTTTAAATGACTTTGACTTACTCAATTGGCCTGCTTTTGCCCCCTCTTTCATAGTATCTCAAACTCTGTTTAAAGTCCTTGACTTGGTATGAACTGCCTGTAAGTGACAAAAATCTAAGCAGCAAATATCTCTCTGCCTGTTTCAGGAGATTCCATTCTGCTTGCTTAAAATATGCAACTTGTAATACACCCCTCCCATCCCCTGAGAACTTTACAGCTCAGTTCCTCCCTCCTACGTCGTGCTCCCTTCTGCCTTGAGGATGGTGACATATCCTGCCCCAGTACTGATGTCATGTCTGGGCAGGGTCAGCAGCAGGGGAATAAGATGTTAGGCCACATGGCCTAGCTGCACTTTTGCTGAGGGGAAAAAAGGCTGATAAGGAGAGAAAAGTGTGTGGAGCCCAGGAGACAGAACATTTTTTATGAAACTGTCATTAAATGCTTTATCTGTCTCAGCAGCTGGGAAGCATCAGCTACCATTCTCACAGCCTAAGACAAGAAGAATCAGTTTACATATCAAATGCATGATGAAAAGGGCAATTGTAACAACCTGTAGATAACTACTAGGAACCTGAACAGCAGCTTGGCAAAAACAAATCTTAACAAGAACAAAAAATGCATTTTAATGGACAGAGCATGAAGCAGTGTTAAATGCAAAATGATTCTGACTTCCACTATTCATTTAAATTTTCATCTTGCCTTTTCATCTGGCAGCAGTGCTGGACTTCACAGGAATTTCTTTAGGCTAGCTTAACAGACACTGCAGAATGGCAAGGTTTTTAAGATATATTAGAACTAATTTTAAGAATAATGACTCAAAATAGGAATTGCCAACCTTTCAGGACACAAATGAGCTAGCTTTCCTCAGTGCTCTTTAGAACACCTAAGATTCTAAGATGTGAGAATGCTTAGCATATTGCATGGAAAGGAGAGCATGTTGCAGGATCCCAGCAAGGTATCCAGCTCTGCTGGACTGTGCATGTAGCTGACTGCATGACAGTTCTGTCATCCATTATGAGCCTTGCATCCCATGCAAGGGAATTACATAGACATTAATAAGGACATAAGGGCCAGATTCTTATAGACCAGAGGAGCAACACAAAGTTTTAAAGATATTATGAAGTAAGCAGCTGCCTGCTGGAACTTTCATTATACAAATGCAAATACAGTGGGGCAATCTACTGTACTTACTTTGCAGTAAACTTAAGAGTGTTTTTCTCATATTCCTGAACACGATTTTTTGTATGCTTACTGTTTCAAAAGACTGATTTCTGACTGTCAATTAGAAGGCTATGTAATAATTTTTGCTTCATTTTAAGACTGAATAAATGAGCACAATTATTTTCCCTCCCCGTTTCTAACATGCCTTAAATTCCTGATTGTTTAGTCTGTACTGTCTTAAAAACTTTAGTACATGCCTTTAATCTATTTTGGTTGCATGCACATGTTAACTACAAGTGTCTTATCACATTGTACAGAATGTGTGTGTTGACAAGCACACACCAAGAAGAAAGTGTGAGGCTTTTTTCAGGCTGGCATTTGTAACTAGAAGTTGATTTCATGGGTTTGTGTTCTAGAGTTATAGCAAGCATAACAGCCTTTGATCTCACCATTAAGGTTTACATTGAGAAAACACATTATTAAATAAACAATGATAACCACACTAAAGTGGAACAAGCTTCTACCTCTGTTTAAAACAACTCCAACTGCGTATTATCCCTTCTTCTCATATTAAGCAACTTCTCTTATAACAAAATTTTCACAGTAAGTAGTAGATCCAAAAAGGAATACAAGAAGGAATCTCTCTGAGCTGTGTTGAGAAGAACCAAAGTAGAGTAAAAGTTTATACTCCCATTTCAGCTTACTTGAGTAAGCACCAAGAACTGCACCCAAGATTCTGTGGATTATTTTTCAGGCTACAAATGTCTGAGAAGTATCTAAGGCTAATATTTACAGTCATATTGGCTAAATTACATGGCAGTCAGTCAACTCAGGTGAGCTATATCAACACTACTTATTATGCTTGCAGTATCCACTATGAAGTAGGAATACAGCAATTTTACTTCTACCTAATGAGAACATTGTAAGCAGAATATTGTTTCAAAGTCACTTTTTACCACTAGGAACAGGTACTACAGATCAAAATTATGCTACCAAAAAACCCCAGATGTATGGGAGGGCATGCACACAACAAACACAGAGACATGATTTAAAAATCTGTTATCAAAACATGCAATAAACCTAGAAATTCCCCAGTGAGCTAAATCCAGTCAATAGCAAATGCTGTGTCTGGAATAATAGTTCCACCACATGTAAGTGTGCTGATAAAGCTGTGGTCTTCAACTATACCATGTTGTTCTGCAACTAGTTTCCTCAAGCTGAGTAGAGAAAGGATGTGCCTAGTAACTCATACATCATTCCCTTCTGTTTCAATGGTGGTGTGTTCTAAGGTTCCACTTCTCAGTGACACATGCAGCCAGGATCCTGATCACACGCGGTTATTAAAAGCACACCATCAGCTTGAAACCCACAATCTAGAAAAACTAAGCAACTGCAACAAAGGAAGTTATTTTCTATTTCTTTGTAGAGCTGTGCTAGCTAACGGTAACCCTTACATATCCATTGTGCTTCAGCAGCCTGGAGGCATCTGAGATGGATGTACAACTCTAAATTGTCTAGAATACCCTTATTTAAATAATCACAACTAAGTGCTCCAAACTATTTTAAAAATTGCTGGAAAATGAGATAACAATCTCAAAACACTGGCAAAATTAGTCCACCAGTCTAACTGAAACATGCCTGGCAGAACAAGTCCTGGAAAGTTTGTTGTTTTGTTTTGGGTTTTTTTTTTGTTTTTAATACAGAAATGTAACTATTGTAGTGCCTAACCTGCATTCCTGCCTGTAAGGCAATTATCTTTACCTTTGTCTGAGATAAGCTGAATTCTACAGACCTACAACCAGGAATAACAACAGACTAGGCCTCCCTGACCAACTGTTTTGCATAGTTACAAAATTTTTCTTAAAGCTAGCAGAGGAGTAACATATATGGCATACTTAAAAGTTGCTTTAAGAACAACAGAATAATGAAAAAAACCCAAATCATAGGATACAAACTGACTTTCAGCAATAAATTTTATACTTCTAACAGAAATGCTTCACATATTTTTCATCTCCATTCTCAAACATTATTCAGAATATTAATGTTTATTTCTGAAACAATATTCTGTTCCTGCTAAGTAATATTTACTTAGCATAGAAGTTGTTGCATGCTTAAAAAATGCAATTAACATTATTTTTAAGGGTAGAGAGGCACACTAATCTGAATATCCCCTGTATGCAATATTTTTCAAACTAAAACATGGAAAATAAAGTGAAGATTTTCTGAGACATCTGTATTTATCTCAGTTTTGTTGCATGTCACAAGACGTATGTATAAAGAAGCAGTATGTTTCCTTTGGTTTGTAAGTAAGTAAGGATGAAGTAGCATTTGGGCTTTAGTCGTTAGCACATGAGTTGGAACTCTCGTTATGAAATTCATCATCAGGTTTACTCCACAGAGCCCTGAAGTACTTTGAAGCAAAAACAAATTTTAGTGAAAGACACACAGGATGCTGACATCTGATTTTCTGACCAGGTAAGATCCAGGAAATAGTACAAAAGACTTCTCAAATTCTACTGCTACATCTCAACTACAATGTAAAGCAATGATTACCGGGTTTTAGAAATCTTAATAGAAGAAGTTTGCAGGAAAATATGATAGACTGCCAAGGGTAGGGAAGCAGTAGCAAAACATGAAACCAATGTTGCTTTTTCTTTGAAGGACACAAAGCAGAAGAATTGTGGTAGGTATGAGCGTGGCAATTAGACAAGTATCCTACAGAATAGTGCAGACAGCTTTATTTAATACCCTGCTGAGATTCCAGCATTCTCAGTACTCCCTCCAACCTCTTGTTTGCTTTAGGTGAGTGACTACCATTCCATTTGAAGACATTTCTATGAACAAACCAGACTTCACAGAAGCAGCTTTACATTCTCCCATTTCTGAATGATTTTTCAATTTAAAAGTTGACTGTAGACACTTTATAAACTGTCTACAGTTTATAAAGTGTAGACACCAGTTTGATTAAATGCTAAATCCCAATTAAGTGGAAAAATATGCCAATTCAAGACACAGTGACTTTTTCTGTGTACCTTGTCTCATATTATATTGTTTTAATAAAGCTAAATCAATAGCATTTTTCACCCCAAACACATAGCATTTCTGTAACAGCTGGATATTTTGTGGTTTTGACAACTTTTGACATTCCAGGGCTACCAACAGAGCCCAAGGGCAGCAGCAAAACCCCTTTGGTTTGCTTTATCATGTGTTATTTCTCAATTATTGCTGATCCATCCAGTTCTTGTAGTAACAATTTCACCTCTTCTGTGACCATCTGCCAGTAATGAATTGTCTGAAGTTACAGGCAGCAATGCAGCTGTGTTTCCACTGCATGCTAACCCACAAATACTAACTATAATCAATACAAACATCAGAACCAGATTTTGCAATAAACAGGCTTAAAGGCCTTAACACTGCTCTCTAATAATACCACTTTAGTCTTCCCCAAGTAACAGATTTAAACCACATTTTCTAGTTTGAAACAGAACCACTTTCACTACAGATCAAAAAAAGTTGTTTACAGCACAAAGGCTAAAATACAAAAAGGAAAATAATCACTAATGAAACCTCTTTTTATCTCAGAACCTGGTCTTGAGTTCAAAGATTAAGCTGTTCCATTTGAGTCCATTTTTGGATAGGAAAAGGGTAAATCCAAAACCATAATCCTCAAGCTCTCTGTTTTTAGGCTAATATGAGAAACAGCTGATGTCAGAAGCACCACAGCTTAATACTTTACTCATGCAGCTATCTAGAAGTAATTTGGTTTTGACTGGGTTCTGATTACTTTTAAGTCTACATTAAGATCTACATGATTTCTTTCAGACCTTGCTTGGAATTTAATCTGTAGCTGTTCCCTTAAACATACCAGTTGATGTTCTACAGAGTTCTGTGCAAACTTAAGTTCTGTGCAAAACACTAGCAGTCCTTGTATTTGGGGGAGATTAAAAAATACTACTATTATTAATCCTGCAGCTGTATTATGTGCAGGCCTTTTTACATTCAGTAAGTGGTTAGGTCACTCAGGGGCAATCAGCACTAAAGATCTTCTTCACAAACTAAACAGATCTGCAAGAACAGCAGACGTTTCTGAGGATAATTATTTCCTGTCTGAAGTTGAAGACAACACAGAAAGCACTTCTCTTTTACAGTGAAAGAATTTACTGTGAGTTTCTGTAATCACCTGACATCAGGTAGCAAAAAGAATACTCTTGCAAAAACAGGTTTTGTGCCAGTGCCCAGTGAACTTCTGAAGAACAGGAATGTCTCTTGGTTCTGAAGATTTCTGAGATAGCCATGTAGCTACTACATGCAATACCTGGGTTGCTGAATCCGCACTGTTCAGTAGGAATAAAAAGACAAAAGACATCCAGCTGTTGCATGAAGTTGTGTTTCCCCAGAACCTGATTCACAATATCTCTCAATATTTCTCTTGGCTGAGCTGAGCATGCTGGGAAGCAGTGTCTCCTGGGCTTCTGTAGACTGAAAATGCCTGGCCAGGACACTGCCCCCACTTCTATGGTTTAGTGACCAATATTTAAGAGATCACCTTCACAAAAATATTAGATTATTAATAGGTGATTGGAAACTTTTGAAAGTTGTGAGCAGGATCCCTGACAAGCTATTTTAAAGAGGTTGATTTCTGCCTTGAAGGCCTGTTACAATTTTGGTACTTCACTGTGTTGCTTTGCTGAAACAACTGGACTTGTAAAAATTACATTACATTTTAACCAGAACTTTTTTCATCTCCCCTAATGCAGCATATCTTAAAAAATTAGCCTTTAAAACTGCAGTTTTCAAAGACTGTTAGAGTGGCAGCCTGCAGGACTGATAAGCAAACTCTATGGCTGCTCTTGAACTGGCCACATCATTAAAGATCAAGCAGGTCAGACTCAAGTGGAACAAAAAATTTATTCCCCCATCCCACTATTTAAAACTCTATAATGTGTAAGATGGAGAAGTGAAAATGGGAAAAATGAGGGGAAGGGAAAGAACAGCAGCAAATGCTCTAGATCTAGGCAAAAGATCTTTGATGTAGAGCTTGAGTCATAAACTCTCCCCTGCTAACTCTGGTATCAGGAGTATGTCAGAAATGAGGGTGGAGATGGTGAAGGAAAAGGGAAATTTCAGACACACAGGGAGCACTGGGGAGCATTCATACCCAGAAACAGCCAGTGACAAGTTTGGGTATCTAAAGTTTCTGCAAATGCTTTGCTGTTTCTGATGAGTCGAAGTATCATTTGAGATGCTTAAGTGTAGATTACAGAGCTAAATTTTCAGTCCTGTTTGGCTTTTATTAACTTGGAAGAGTTTACAAACAGCAAAAGTTTTCAAACCATTATCAAACTTGTGTCTCCCACTATTGGAACATGTGGGAATGGACCAAAAACAAAAAATTAACTCTACCTAAAGCATCTGTCTTCAGCTTTTAGTGTCTTTGGTTAATCAGAGCCCCCTGACCTAAGTTTTCCTCATATCATTGGTGCATAAAAGGTGAAGGTTTTATACACAGCACATTAGCAAAGTCTGAGATTTTGGGAATAAAACAAAACCTGCCAGATGAGACATGCTACTTTAAAATCGCATCTGAGCAAGGAAAAAGTGCTTGCCTCTCATCAGGACAGGGAAGTGAGTAAGACTTGGAAAGGAGATAGGAGATTGTATTTCAGTGAATCCCTCGATTTTTGGTTACATTCATGTCTGTCAACAATTAATCAGTGTCAACACATACCTATGCCAGATTGATGGTGAAACATCTTGCAAGAATAAACCAAGTGTTTTCAGGGAAGAAAATGTTTTGCTTACAATACTAATCTACTCCTCCATTATTTTTGAAATACAAATTCTAATGTCTAATCACACTACTGCAATGAAAAACTAATGGCATAAAAGCAGGCTGTGAGCTATTTACAGAAGACAAATTTTAAGTGTGGCTGTAAGAGCTGTAAGCCACAGCATCTCCACAATATCACAGAGGAAAATGTGCTGCCTGTTACACTGATTTCTGGAAGAAACCTCTGAAACCATCTGCTTAGGGACAGGCCTGGTAGACACTACTCAGCTAAGAGTATATGAGTTTGGTATCCAGACAAAGTTATGAAACACTGAGCACATGTAGGAAGAAGCTGCTACTGGTGCCATCATTTTATGGCAATTGCAGACTTTCGTTATGTTTAATTGAATCACTTCTCCATGCCAAAAAACATAGCAAGAAATTAGCATAAACATTGGAATTCATAAAGATAGAATCTGCAATGCCAGCTTCACATTTTTTCTTGTTCAACTAAAAAGCTAATGTTTGCCTTCCTTTGAAATCAGAAGTGTTTAGTACAGTGCTTTGGCTATACCATTTCCACAAACTGATCTAAATCCATTTAAAATACTTTCTGTTAAGTGCTTTTATGGAAGACAGAGGGGAGCTAAAACACAAGAAAAGCATCTTTCTTTCCCTACCTGTGAACAATAAAAGCTACTAGACGGAAGGCAAACTTGAAGACATTTTCATCATTTCACATTTCTCCTTCAGCTTGTCTAGCTTCTTCTTATCCAAATCATTAGAGCTCTATTCCATTATAAAATTTGCATGCAACAGACACTCACAGGTATTAAATAATCCATTTAAACTGGAAGTAAAAATAATGCAATTTACTTCCTTACACCCTAAGCACAGATGTTTCCAATGAATTTTTAAAAGTTTGGCATAACTCTGTAGGAATAGCTTATGACCAAGTACAATACACCTGAACAGCTTCAAAGCAATTTTGTGCAGTGTGCATCTCCAGAAAATTAGTATTTTGTAACCTTTATGGTAAGGGTGTACATACTAACCTGCCAAGGCCGATCCCAGTCAAGAGGAATAGGAAATGCTCCAAACCAAGCTCCAAGTATACTACACACAGAAGTAATCTGTAGACTGCTTTCCCATATGGACATAGCTCTGTAAAAAGTATGTTACAAGTTTTCAACAACAGCAGAAGTTACCACGGGAGAGAGATCAGATTTCTCCCAAAATTTTTGAGGTTACAAACATAAAACATAAAAATTCACATATTTGATAAACAGCATGCAGGTTTCTCCTAAAACATGCAAACTAGAAGTAAAATCTAAGTTGCATAATTTAGCTACAATTACAATCTTTTTATACCACACTTTCAGGAATTTTTTTTTCTTGAGATGTTTACTGCAAAAGCTAATTTATGTTACCTTGAAACACTGCTGGACTGAGCAAATAAATCTATCTCAATATCTGTGTACATTGCAGGGAGAAGCAGACATGAAAGTGTACTGTGGGACTGTACAGAAAAGCACAAGCACATTCACAAAGGATTGTGACTATTGATGACATATTTGATGACTACAACCATTCAAAATTTAACATAGAAGTCCACTATGAGAATATTTCGACACAAGTTTCCATCAACTGAAAATAAACATTACAAGCAAATGTCACTGCACATTGGAGCCTTTTGGTAGCAGTGCCTCCAAGTTCAAGTACACTGGCTGCAGGATACATTTTTTGCACACTAAAGAACTCTTACACTACCAGTCATGGCACACATTGCAAGAGAGATCAAATTACTTCAGTTCTCAGTTTATTGCCTCCTGTCACTACTGAGTTCAAAAGTTTTTGAAAAGCTGGATTTATGTTTAACAAATGAGCACTTACTACCATCAATGTACCAACTGATTGCTCTGCTTTGCTCAGGCCACAAACATTTGGGTACTTGGTACCAATTTAGAAACGAGCATCAGATGTTCAGAAGGTAGTAGGGCACAGTTTCAATACAGGAGAACCATGCTACAGTCACTGTTCCACATCAGTACAGCAGGAGATCTGAGTTTAAAGTTTGCTACATCTCAGATTATAAATGTACACCTAGCTTCAGCTAACAGAGGCAAAAATATGAGCATTTTTATGGCTCGAAGACTACATGCACAGTAAACTCTGAACTTTGCATGTGCTGTTTGGGTTGCATGTCATGAACACTCGGTTTTGAAGAGAATAAAATTTCTTTACTTCTGAGTACACTGCTGCACTTGCTATTGACCAAACAGCTCACAAGTTTAATGCAAACACTTTTCAATATTTGCAGAAAAAAAGGTCTTGCAGACTACAGTACTGACAGTGCAAGGTTGACATTTTGAGCAGAACTGTTTCTTCTACAATAACACAACCCCTTTAACTTAAAATACTCCAGTTCACAATTCTACCAGTTTGAGATTCTTTTTCTTGAAAAGTCCTGATATAACTGGAAAACTGTTTAAGAGTCTGCACACAGAAAATTCTTTTAAATTATTTTCAGAAGCTGAATAACTGAGCAGAGAGCTGTCAGGCAGAAAAAGGAAGAGAACATTCACTACAGCCTTAAAGCAGCGAAAGAGACAACAGAATACACCAAGGACTGACTGAGGTACAGTTATACCTCACAAGACATCTTGTGTGTGTGGCAGATTCACCAGAGACTGCTGCACCATATGGAGAGATCAGACTGAGTCCAAATGCAAAACAACAGAATTAGCAAGGCACGGTGCCCAAGTGCAAAACAGCCACTGGCAGTTTGGCAACTATTTCAGCTGCTAATTGAACCCTTCTGCAGCATGGAAGAAGGGTTCTGGCTACCCAAAGACAACCTGACTTGTCCTCCAGCATTATCCTGAAGGAGCAACTACTTTTTAAAGTAAGTCATTACTTAAGTACTTACTTCTCTTTTTGGAATGACTGACACTTATTGGGATTTTTGAAGGTATTCTTTAAACCACCACATAAACTCCTCATGTGCATAAGACTAACAACTGCAGCAATGTTTATAAACTTTGCATTTTCCACATTTCTTTCATTTAAACTAAGATAATCCTGCAGACAAAAATAGCAATGTTTAAGATAATAAATAAACACTAGTGGCAGAAAGGTCTTTAAAAGCCTAAAGTAATTATTTAACACCTTTAAATAATAGAATACATTCAGTTCAGCTTCCAATAGTGCTTGAATTAAGAGGTCAGCTGACATAAAATAATCTACTGAGACAGCTCCATCATAGATAAAATTTGGAATTCTTGGCTGCAGCAGGACTAAATAGTAAGTAGCCCTTGGTGTGTGATGATGTCTACATTTAGAAGGAACATTTCAAATCTGTAAGAGTATGCAGCTCACAAACAAAGTGATGAAATAGGCATATGAAAAGAGGAAGGAGCCCTAACATCATGATTTTTTACTATTTTTTGGCAATATCCAAATAAAATCTCTTTTCTACCCTAGTAACACCTTATAATTGCTATTATATTGGAAATTTCAACATGCTTTCTCAGAGCAGTGATTTAAAATAAACAGCCTCCAAAAGGAGAGAGAAGAAAAAGAAAAAGCAATTGAAAACTAGTTTTTTTTAGACTTTTATGCAGGAGGCTATTTCAGCTAAGTTACTGAAACACTATTTAAATAAGAGCCACATGCTGCCATTAATGCTGATAACCCTTTCTGCAGCTTTTACCTCCCTCTAACCACTCACAGCAGCACATGACAGCATATGATCAGTGTCATGACACTGACATCAGTCACAGCTCCAGATATCAGAGTAGAGCCCAGGGATGCTGGCATGGGCCCACCCCTTTCCAAATGCAGAATTAGTGAAAAGGGCCTTACTTAAAGCTAACTAAGAATGGAAGGCTTTGTGATGTAGAATCACAACTTACTCACTTTTCTCACACATTCTATGTGCACATAATCTTAAGGTTACTTAAGTCTAAATTGCACTCAGGTACTTAAAACCAGATTTTTTTTTTTTTCATGCACTTAATCAGACTTTCAAGCTAACTGTCCCAGTGCAATTCAATTCCCTAAACTCTGCTTTCCAGGAAGGCAGCTCTGTTGATTTTACCTAGCCATCCTTTTCTTCCATTTAACCAGTCCACATGGCAAAGACAACTTTTTAATGTATCATATCTACACTCATCTCATGCCCAGGCCTAAGATGTTCCAGTTTCATGAGGTCAAACGAAAAAACACAGGATTATTTTTAAATTAACAACTTGCTACAGTCCATAAAGAAACCAGCTACAGACTTCTTTGTAGTCTAGTATTCACTCAAAATGTAAACAAACATCATTAATAATAAATATTTTTCTCACATTATGTCACATGGCTCACTAGTAAGAAGTACTAACAAGTCCTCACAGCAAAAGTGTCAAAACAAGACAACTGTTTCCTATGAAATGATTGTGCTGAAATTATATTAAGATCCAGACTAGGAAACCAAGAAATCAACAGACATTCAAAATCTACCTGGCACAAATGCAAACTGATATGGTCATACATCTGTTACTTCAATTCAGCTTTCATTTCCAGATACAAAACACCCAAAGATGACCAAGGGAATCAGCAATGATTTACTTTGTCTAAACAACTCCTTGCTTTTATTACAGCATATTTACACTTCCACTGAAAAAAAACCAAGCGTAAATGACTTGAGTAAGGATTCAAGATATTTTTCAGTAAGCTGAGAACTGAGACAAACCAACATTTACCTGACAATATTATTGAAGTCTCCTCCTCTAAAGGAGTGCAAACCAAAAATAATTCCATAGGTCAGCAGTGTAATACAACCTTTCACTCTCTTCTGAGATGAGACTTCACCATCATGAACTATTAAAAGGGAATGAATACTAAAACCCCATTGAATCTCAAGCATATGTGAAGCCTCTTTATGTTTCAGTGTCCCAGTCTTTCAACATGCTATTATTTATGGAATGAAAAAAAGGCAGAAGAAATGGAAATCATCTGAAAAATACATTATCCTTGATAGATGCTAATGTCATGGCTGCCACTGGAGGTGAAAATGCAATTAGAAGGCTTGTTTTACTTTAAACATACTCCTGAAAAAATTAATGCTTGAAAACTCTGACACTCAAAACAGCTTTCTTTGAAATTGAAAAAAGAGTATGGGTTAATATTACATAATTAAGAACAGTGTCATGTGTAATTTTCAACATTATATTCAAGTTTAAAACAGTGTTTGTTTTGAGTTCCTATTCCTACTTTAAAAGTTGTATTTTTGAAGGTACTACTGGACCATGTGCAAGATTCTCCATGCACAGCTCAGTGTCAGGTCTCCCCTTTATTGTGCAACCATCATTTAGAACTGCACAATGTTTTTACTTCAGTAGAATATGTGCTGGAAACTTTACTTCCTTCAAACACATATAAAGTGAGATTTAGCATCTGCACACCAAAACAAGAAAGCACTTTTTCTGAATCACTGTCTTCAAATAAATCTTTCTTTGTCAGAAAAGCTTTCATATGTCTGTAAACAAACACAACCATCATACAGGAAGTTTCCCTTTCTGTACAAAAATTCCATTATATATTTTTTTACATTAATTCTGTCCACTTCTATTCAGAGAAGTGTCAGAAACTTTAGATTAGGACTTACCCATTTTTACTAAATACCCGTATCCATGACTGTATGTTTGGTCCCAGCAAACACAAGCACTGTAAAGTAGTAAATGTAGACAGAAGAACTGCAAACAAAAATGTCTCAGTCACTAACCTACAAAAAGAAAAAGAACATTACAAAATTCAGTGAGGTGGTTGCTAATGTTCTAAAAGTTCCAAGATTTAGGAAGAAAAAACCCCTCTAACTTAACTTGTGAAAGCATTTATGCTTTTTTAAATCTCATATAAAAGAAAAAAATATTTTATTCTTACTCTGTAGTATAGTAAAGGAAGCTGGAAAGAGTTTTGCTGTTATCTCAAGAGTGAGATGTAGTAATGTTTTGAAATGCCTGATACCTGTAGCATTTTTAAAAAAACACAGGTGTACTTCACATAGATCATTAGTTCTAAATTGAAGTATGCTTGGATACTTACTTCATTATTCCATTTATTTTCCCAATTGTGACAGCAACCATGAAACCAAACTGCATGAAACTATTGTTAGTCAGCAACTTAGTGTATCTCTCAAAACCCAGGTTGCTTCACACTTCTTTCTTTAAACTTTCATAAAAGTTAAAACATTAACATCAAAAGGATAAAAGATAAGCAAGATGTGTGGTTTAGAATCTTACAGGGAAAATGACTAAATGAAACTCCAAAAAATGTTTGTGCCCATATGCTTAACATAAAAATTAAACGAGTTGTTTGTAACTGTGTTACAATTTTTATTTACAGAAATCTCATTCAAAAGCTGACTTCCAAAAAACCACAACTGAATAAGTAAACTAACAAACCAACCCAAAACCAAGAGAAAGCTGAAACAGCCACCTTTCTTCCCCCAGCTAGGAGCTGATCCCTTAACTTCCACTGTACCAGAAAATACACAAGCACTTATACCAACATCTGCAAGGAGAGCTGCCCCTTAGAACACTTAGAGGAAGAGAGGGTCTTCTGACTTACTCTATGAGAGGTGCTCCATAAAGAACAATAATCGTGTGAAATAGTATGCAAGACATGAAAAAGTATATACAGCATTTTAGAAATCTGGATATCTAAAAAAGAGCAATGAAATATCAGAATAATGCTTCAAAACAGAACAAAAGTAACACACACAGTCTATATCCTATCAAGAGCATTGTACTCTGATTACTTCTTTCATTTCACCTGCAGCACAACGTAATAGCATGGCATATTTCAAAACAGTTTTCCATATATTAATACTTTAAATAATTAATTTAAAACTATCACACTCCACTGACAATTTTTTTTGTTCATCTCATTAAACAGGGCAAACATACAAAAAATATAACCAGAAATTACAAGATAACCAGAAGTAATTTTATTGGACATTTTTACACTTCTGTTTTACATCTGACTGTCATATCCATTAATTAAAAGGCAACTCTCACAAAAAGTGAAAAAAAAATTAAAAGCAACAAAACATACAATATAAAAAAGTCTGCTACATAAAGAATCAAAATTACATTAGCTAAAACTACATTTTGAACTTGGCATCTTAAATTCTGAATATATTTGACAAATATCCGTAACTTTATGTAAGTCTGCAAAGCACATAATTTTCAATGAACTTAACAGTTTCTGGGTACTCACTAGATCATGTAGAAGCAAAAACACTTGATAAACAGTTCTGGTAAGGTCTGTTCTGATCAGGTCACCAATGCAAAATCCGTAACTTGCCTTGAACCCTTATTTTTCTATATTTATTCCTTTCTATATTTATTTCCTGGGATGAAATCTCACCTAGAACATGAAGTGTGCTTCATTTTTAAATCACAGACGGTTAAAACACTTGCTTTCCATCATGGTTTTGTGCATTTCACACCCTCCTCAGTCAGCAAAACTAGACAGGAGCTTTGCACGCAAAGATCTGCTGGCAGGGATGATTAAGAGGGTTTTTTAATTTAAGAACCACCTCAGAGCTCTACATCTTGCCTGGCTCAGCAGGTCAGGAGCACAAGACTATCCCCGACTTCAAAACCCTGGGGTATTCCCCCACAAGTCGTGTGCTGCTCCAAAACCCCTCTGTTCCAAAGTATTTCATTGGGATTCATATCCTTAATGCTCCCTGTTGCAAACTGGAACTACAAAAAGTTTCTCCCAACTTTAGATTCTTCTGTATGCCAATTTCATCATACAAGGAAATGCAGACATTTTAATACTTTTCCATATGGTTTTTCAGTTGTTGAAATGTAGCACAGCATCTCTTTTATGTGTCAGATTCTGAAAACGTTTTTTTTTCCTTTTAAAGTTATTACAAACTTACAACTACACACGAGAAAAGTGTGATGACATTTTTTTCCTGACATATCCACTTATCAAGAAGATGAGCCAGGCCTGGACAACAAAATTAGTTCTGTGACATTGAATTTTGCATTAATTTTAATTTCTTGGGACTACAAAGAACATTGCACTGACAGGAAGCGGGAAAACATGGAATCACCCACCTGCACAGGTTATTTACAGGTAGAGAAAGTTTAACATCATGAAAACACTGAAGAATTTGTTCCAACAGGTGCTACACTCAATTCACTAATGGAAAGTGAGAATTCATCATCAAAAATTGTCTTCTTTCTCATTTGATTATTTCAGAGAATTTGCTTCCATTCTGTATTGATGATAAGTTAAGAATTAAAAAAATAAATCTTACCTTGTGAGCAAAGGAACGTCTCTTAGGAGACTGATTTGGTTTAAGGACTAAGTGCAAGATTATATTCAGGGTAGCAACACAAACAGAGCAAACGCACAGCCACGTCAGGTGCGTTCCCAGCACGCTGAACCCGTCCAGGAAGAAGGCGGGGGCCACGGCGGCCAGGACGATGGCGAGGGCGCAGAGCAGGTTGGCGGCCAGGAGCCTCCTGACCTCGGCCTCCCTCATGGCGAGCGCCCGCCGGCACCTGCAACACACCGAGCGCCGCCCCGTCACCGCCGCGCCGCGGCAGCGCCGCACGGCGGCATCTCGCCCGGCCCGCGGGGCGCAGGGCAGCGCTGCGGGCCCCGGCGGGGCGAGGGGGATGGTTTTGGGGCAGGGTTTTGGGGCAGGACGCGGCGTTTGTCCAAAAACACCGAACCCCGCGCGGGCCGCGCGCGCCCCTTACCGCGGAGCGCGCGGCGCCGCCGGCAGCGGAAGGCGGCGGGGCGCGGCCGGCGGCACGTCCGGGGCGGTGCCGGAAGCGGCGGCGGCTGTGAGGGGCCGCCATGGTGTGCGACAAGTGTGAGTACGGGGCTGCGGGGCGCCCTGCCCGACCCGCCCTGCCCTGCCCGCGGGGAGCCAGGGCTGCCCTGAGCGGAGCAGCAGCCGCGGGTCCCGGGTGGCTCCGGGTGGGCCGCGGGTGGCGGTTCCCGGCCGGGCCCTGTGTGAGCTGTCGTTCTCCGGCTGTGGAGCGTATTATTGTGCATAGTTTAAATTATTGTGTCCTGTGTCAGTAATAGCGTGAGCAGCAGGAGCGGGGGAGGGATTTCCCCGCTGGCGAGGCCGCGTCCCGAGTGCCGTGCTCGGTTCTGGGCCCCTCGCTACAGCAAAGGCACTGAGGTGGGAGCGGGTCCTGGAAGGGCGGCAGGGCTGGTGAAGGCTCTGGAGCACCGGGTGTGATGAGGAGCGGCCCAGGGTGTTGGGGTTGTTCAGTCTGGAGAGGAGGAGGCTCAGGGATGGCCTTATCGCCCTCTTCAGCTCCCTGGAAGGAGGTTGTAGCCGTGGGATTGATTGGCCTCTTCTGCCCGGCAGCAATCTGTGGGACAAGAGGACATCGTCTTAAACTGGGCCAGGGCACCTTTAGGGTGGACATTCGGAAGAATTTGTTCCTGATGATGGAGATTAGGCATTGGAATGGGCTGCCCAGGGAGGTGGTGGAGTCACGGTCCCTGAAGGTGCTTGAGGAAAGACTGGACATGGCACTCAGTGCCAAGGGCTGGTTACGTGGTGGTGACTGGTCACAGGCTGGACTCGATGAACTCACAGGGCTTTTCCAGCCTCCTTGACTCTGTGATTCTGAGGTTTTTTCCTTTGTAATGTTTCCTTATGCAGGCGAGAAGAAGCTTGGAACAGTGATCACTCCTGACACATGGAAAGATGGTGCCAGAAACACTACAGGTAGCCTCGGCAAGGTTTAGCAGCTTGGTTTTGAGGTTTCTGTATTATAAAGCCAGCTGGGCACCCACACATGGAAAGATGGTGCCAGAAACACTACAGGTAGCCTCAGCAAGGTTTAGCAGCTTGGTTTTGAGGTCTTATAAAGCCAGCTGGGCACCTGAGCTATGTTACCATCTTAAGTCCAAAGCTTTATATTACTAATCAGGTTAAATATTAAGTCATGTACTTTCCCTCCCATGCTGATTTAATGCACTGAGAATTTATTTGTCCAGAACTCTTCAGTATTGAATTTGTCTGCTTTTGTTTTCTGTTTTTTTCCCTTCTTGTATGGGAGGACAATACACAGAATATTTAAATGAAGCATAAAGTGTTCTGTCACGCTGTCCCCTAATGCTGTGCTGAATATTTTATCTCTCTTTGTGACTTTATTTGCATACATGTAAAAGTTGTAAATGAAGATTTTTAAAGTATGCTTGGAATAGGGAAATTTTAAAATATGCTTGGAACAGGGATAGTGATTTTTCTTTTTTTTTTCTTTTTTTTGTAGAAAGTGGTGGTCGCAAATTAAATGAAAACAAAGCATTGACCTCAAAGAAGGCAAGGTTAGTACTTAACGCTGATTTTGGCTAAGAACATCCTTTAGCAGATTAACTGAGGCCTGTTTCCTGCATAGCTGGACAACTACTCCAAACTTGTCCAAAATACACTTAATCAATTAAAATTGCGGGGATTATGGTATTTGATTTGTTGGTAAAAATATGTCCATACATATTTCATGGGTGCTTTCTGCTCAGTCATAGAGTATTTTACTGCAGTTCTCACTGGAATTGCTAGGATTTGATGCTTTTATAGGAGAGAAGCTGAGAATACTTACTTTCTGTGCTGATCTTGCCAGGATAATCTCTTGAGCATTTCCTTCATGTGTGCAAGACTTTCTGTTTGCAGAGGGCAAGATGCTGTTGGAAGGTGTTTAAGTTCAAAGTAATGTAGTATCTTAATAAAAATAAACATTTTCAGTTCTGCTTTCATGAAGTTGTTGGCTGTGATGGAAGAAACGTCTCTTAATGGGGAAAGTGGCAGCTTTTCTGCATACTTTGTGTAGCCTGTTAGAAATAATTATTGTATGTCCCTTTTCTAAATTACAGTTTCTGCTGGAGTTTCTGACTGTACCCTCTGGCTTAGACTTTTTAGGATGAGGCAGAAAAAAGACTTAATTTCAAGGAGTATAAATAAAATACTTCTCCTTTTCCCCAGGTTTGATCCTTATGGAAAGAACAAATTTGCAATATGTCGGATTTGCAAGAGTTCTGTCCACCAGCCAGGGTCCCACTACTGTCAAGGATGTGCCTATAAAAAAGGTGAGTTTCACTGAGTGCCAAAATACTCCAGTTTGGCTTGGAACAAGAGGGGAGGTGCAACACTTCAATTTGTATTTATGACGAGGAGGTTAAGATGAGATTTAGTTGCTATCTTCAGCTACTGATAGGCAGGCACAGGGAACATGGAGTCAGACTCTTAGGTACACAGTAATAGAATAAGAAATAATGTACACAGGTTAGAATGTGGGCAATTCTAATTACATGCAAGGAAAGCAGTTTTTCAGTTTGGGAGTGATCAAATACTCCAGTAGCAGGTACCATCAGAGGTTGTGGAATCTTTACAGCAGGGATTCAGAGAATGGCTTGAACAGTCCTGAGCCAGCCTTTTCCAAGTTGGCTGTTTTGAGTGGGGCAGGACTGGAGACTGAAGGAGATGCTTTTAAACCATTGTCATTCTGTAGTTCTACTTCTTACAGAATGTTTGTAGTGTCTGCAGCAGTACATTGGGAAACTTAACCTTGGCAATTGCATAGAGAACTGTCATCTAACAAGTTTGATTTTCCTCAAAATCCCAAAAATCCCCAGGTCTTCTAAAACTCAGTTGCTTGTTGCAGTCCCTTTTCTGGTCCCTTCTCTCCCGTTTTTATCATAGCTGAATCTAAAATTCATGGATGGAAAAAAGCATAATGAAGTCAGTTACATGATTTAGTGCCAAAGAGTTCTTGCAGCACATGAGATGAACTGATTTTTAGGTGTAGAGCTGCAGCTAACCACTAGTAAGCTTTGTTTATGAAATTAATTGTTCAATAAATACATGCTGTGTCTGTGAGTCAGTGGTTTAGCAGCTTACTGTAGGAATGTTGCTTGCTGGGTCCTCCCCAGACAGCTGCCTGAACCCCATTCAGTAGAACCTTATACTCCTTCTTAGGTTTATATCTGGTTTGGGTGAGCTTCAGGATTTGATCTTTGTCTGTCTGTGTACCTTTCCAGGTTGAACCTCTTATCTTCATAAAATTAGGAACTTTCTAAGGTTCTAGCTCTGACCATCAGAGATGTCATTAGGGCATACTTCCTGAAGCAAATGCAGTCATACAGCTCAGTGCTTCAGCTTTTGCATATCTCTGAAATTGAGAGGCAATCTCAAGTTAATTAATCCTCAGTTTAGACCTGAAGTCAATATTTAGTGGGCTGAGTTTTGGTTTCCAGAGTAAACCATGTGCCATGTTCCCTGCTGCTCTCTTCCCTGATGGACTGCTAGATACATGTCCACTCATGATGTCAGTATATGAAAGCACACAATTTGGAGAAAGCAGGAGTGCATGCCACTTGACATTTTTTGTCTGCAGGTGAATGTTTGTGTAAATTGAGGTGTGTTCTACCAGGTAAAAGATTTAGCACCTTTTGAAAGGAGAGGAAAAGATTGAGACAACCCACCCCTCTGCCAAACTTGTGTACATTGTGGTGCTCTGGTCTTTTGACTTGACACTCTCAGAGTTTAGGACAAAGTCCTTTGGGACATCAGTGTTCATCACTTCAACTCTCAAGTGTTCTTGGTGTTCATTGCTTTTCACTCCTGCTCTATAAAAACCTTAATTCTATGAAAACATTTTCTAAACTTCCTCAGTTCTCTGAAGCACCCACCTGTGAATGCCCCATTTAGCAGTCAGGTTGTTGGTGACTGTATTTTCTTAGTCCTGCTACTGTCTGTCTGTCTCAGGCCTTGTTTGTGTACATGACTTAAAAGGATTAACAGTACACCATTTTTACCTTTTGGTCAGAAGTGAGCCTTTCCTGGCTCTCTTCAGGCATTCCAGAAAATTACAGAGGCTTCCAGCAGTATGTGAATGATAATGCTCTCAAAATAGGTCAGGCCTTGTTTGTGTACATGACTTAAAAGGATTAACAGTACACCATTTTTACCTGACACTTGGTCAGAAGTGAGCCTTTCTTGGCTCTCTTCAGGCATTTCAGCAAATTATAGAGGCTTCCAGCAGTATTGTGAAAGATAATGCTCTCAAAATAGAGCTTATTTTCTTCAGTGGAAGGATCTCACACATGCTGCACATATATTAATTTGTATTAGGAGTTACAACATTACTTCTAAGTTCGTAGTATCTATTGAGAACATGTCTGAGAACAGAGAGATTGCTAATAAGAGCTCATTTGCACAATTTCTTGAAAAAGATGCTTACAAAAACATAGTAACTGTTTTTGAGAAAAGATTTTAATAATTTCAAAATAATTTACACACTTCTTGTGTGCTTATAGGCATCTGCTCAATGTGTGGCAAGAAGGTCTTGGATACGAAGAACTACAAGCAAACTTCTGTCTAATTGTACTGACTAGTCTTTTTATGAACTTTATCTTCTGTGTCTTTGTACAGTAACTTTTCTCTAAAATGATTTGTGAATATTACTTTCTGGAATATAGTACTTGGAATGAGAGGTAAAGAAAGACTGCTTGCCTAAAATGTACATAATATTTGATTATTGTTGTTTTAGCACTAATATTAACTGGTATTTAAAGATAATGGCTTTCAGCAACTGTTAGAGTTCAAAGGGATGGAGAAGATGCCAGTGGATAGGTTGAAACTAGATTACTATTAGAACACAGGTCTTTGAGATGAATACTTTTTTTCCCCTATCACAAGTCTTCTGCTTGTAATGGTTTGTAGATTAAA